ATCGTTTGATTATGCCGTTGGGTCGAAGTAACTTCTTGTAATAACAGAGTTTCATTAAAATTTTTATGACCCCAGGTGGAATGAAAAAAAAGGGGAAGAAATGAGACGTTGAATTTCAGTTATCTGAGGCCATTTGTGTTTTCTATGCATGGAATTTCCAATCTCCTCAACGGCTCTTGATTCGTCTCCACACGAAATGTCTCACTCTCGGGACAATCCGATGGATTACCTCAGAGGGTGGTGATAACGTGTTTGCGTCCGCATCCACTTTGTCGTCTGACAAATGATGGCCTTTTTCTCTCCTCTCCTAGAAAAGACACTTATTCGTTGACAGATGCTCTACTTCATTAGTCAGTCTTAAGTGCAATTGTTGAACAAATCACTTTAGAAAAGAATAATGTCCTTTTCTATTTACCAAAGAAAACAAATAAATTATTGCATTGAGTGTTCTCCACAAATTTCTCATCCCAAGCACTTCGTTTTTCAGCAACAATGTTGTTTTTTTGAAAATAAAAGAAGTTGTTTACTTCCTCGTAAAATTGAAATAACGAGCGGGAAAAGTGTATTGCAATGTATTAGAATCGCCGCTCAATTTCATGTATTGGATTTTCCTGAGAATTGCCATAGACGGTAACAATACGTATTCATATAAATTCCGAACTTGATGTTCTCTCTATCGTTGCCGGATTCTGAATAGCCGACCTGAAATAGCCACTTGGTGGTACAGCCATGTATTGGTTTGCATTTACGTGGAGGTAGAGTTGCTTCCGGTTGGAATAACGCGTGCTTCGAGGTTTTCCGCTGTAACTACTGTTCAGAAATTCGTGGGGTTAACTCCAAGCGTTTATCGGTGATAATAGGAGTTACGACTCTGTGGCATTGCAGCTGACAAACAACATATTTCGCTACCTCCTAGCTATTATTTACCCTGTCAAACCAAAAAATAATCGGTTGACCTTGGATTTTGCCGTTATTTTAGGTTAAGTCAAGTCGAAGGTCAGAAGTCTAAAGTTGTGACCTTGAAAACCTGCGTCCGAGCCCTGGGCTTGACTTGGGACTTACGAAGTTTTAACTTGACGGAGAAGTCTCAAATTATATTCTTAAGCCTACGGTTATCTTCGCCTAGGTTAAGTTCAGACGTAAAGTTTCTTAAAATGTGGAGTTAAGACTTTGAAACTCTCAAGTTGGGACTTACGGGTTAAATTGACTCACAAAGGTTCATGTTCAAACTTAAGTCTCATGACTTAACGTGAGCCTTCCTTCCCCAAAAACATAAAGTCACCCGTTGACCTTGGACTTAACGGTTTTGTTAGGCTAGGTCAAATCGAAGGTCAGAAAAATTGGGACTTAAAAGCTTCAGTTTGAGCCCTCAAAATCGTAAATTGGGACTTATAAAATCAAACTTTGACGGGGAAAGCTCAAGTTGAGTTCCTAAAAGTCTCAAATGTCAACTTGAACCTTTAGTTGACCTTGGATCGTAGGTTTATTGTAGCCTAGGTCAAGTTAAGACTCGAGACTTCCAAAAATCTCAAGCTACGACCTTGAAAGTCTCAAGTTGAGACTCACAACGCCTTAACTCGGCAGAATAATTTCTCTGAAAATAAAAATGGCGTCAAACTGACCCAGAAAGTTTCACGTTTCATCCTAGAAGTCTTAACTCAGGACTTTTCAAAACTATTTCTTCCTTCCCCCAAACCTAAAATCACCGGTTGACCTTGAAATTTATTGCAGGTTAGGGCCTACCCCGAAAGAACCATTGGAGATGAAGATAATAAAAAATAAGGTGCTCACACCCCTGCGGATGGGCTGTAGACCCTCGGCATAACCCGAAGGGTCAACTAAAAAACAAAACAAACAGCTCCTGATAATAAAAGCATCGAAAGAGGAAGAACAAATGGAGATAGGGCGACTCTGAGGACCTGGAGAGAACTGCGAAGCACTCACCTCGGACAGATAGGGTGGAAAAAAAAAAATGTAGAGTGGGATCCCCAAGTCCATTCTCGTCCGGAAAAATGCCCCGCGGGAGCTGCGTCAACGTCCTAGGAAAGCCGCGCCCCATATCGAGATTGCCATCTCGAAAACTCCGCGGCTCCTCGTGTTCTGATACGACATCCTGAAAATTCGTACCGTATTTTCTCGGAGACCACATATCAGGCTCTTTGTCTCTTTCCCTTCAGCTTCCCTTGTTCGTTAGTTTCTCTAGCTTTTCCTGTCCATCTTGGATTATTCTGGCGTGTGATTTATCGTTCCATTAATTCGGGGGTTTCCGTGGTTGAAACCAGAAAATTTTATTTTAGGTTGAGACTCAGGATCTGAAATTGAAATCTCGGGAAGGCTCAATGCGAGGCTTTTGGAAGTCTTCAGTTTATGAATTTAAGTCAAGATCAGGTCTAAATGTCTTGAGTCTTGACTTGGGACTTACAAAGTTGTGACTTGATGCAGATTTTCAAGTCTCAAGTCCTCAATTTATTAAAATCTTCGCCAGTTCCGATGATTTCAAAAATAAGGGAATATAAATCGCTGAAAAAATTGACACGTGATTGCATCTCGAAATTAATTACTTGATTCAATCAAGAAAATAAATGACTAGACTGATGCCACTAAAATGATGCACATAGAATCAAAAGGGCGGAGTGGATTCTATCCACCAAGAGGCTTTCCCAAAAGGATTCCCCATTTTTCCTCTGATGTTGTGTCACCGCGAAGAAAAATTTATCGCAAGTGTTTTCCATCCATCATAAATAATAATCACTCGATATTAATTCCGGATAAATTATTCTTCACCGGAAAATATTCACTCATTGAAAAAAAATACTGGTTTTTCATCGGAAAAACGCGTATTCATCGTGATGTTTTGTCATGAATTTTCTCGAGTGGGTTTTCCCGGTGGTGCAGCATCTCCATGGGTTTTGGGCGGTCCCATATTTTGTGGCTTGATAATTTATTCACTTGGAAAGCTTTCAGCTCGTTTCACTCGTTAAAAGCACGACGAGCCAAGATCCCTCATTTTTTCAACTTTTCTCGAGTTCTTGTTATTAAAATATGAGCGAAACGGGGAAAGGTTTTCACAACTGGTGGTGGAAAATGGGGGAAAGGTGGAAATTCAACCGAGGTACACCGATGTACACCCGACACCACCAAACATGCCTCGATCGATTCAATACTTTATCTTTTATTCATAAAGTCTACTGTTAACGCCAGGCAGTTTATCACGCATTCGCTTTCACGGTCGCTCACACGATTATTTTTCCGTCTGGCTTGAAAATCCGTCGGGATAATCGAAAAATTGGGGGATCTAATCCCCGATCTAGTGGGTTAGCCGAAAGGTTGGAGATTAAATCGATGAATAAATTTGCAAGTCTGGGGTAATCTACCGATTTTTATTAAAAAATTATTGAGTAATTCTGTTTTTTTTTTATTTTATTTTTTATAACTGTTTTGGGTTGATTGGTGGTCAAGTCCGTTGGTCGATCTTGAATAGATTGATAAGATTGTGATTGATAAGATCGAGTCAATGGTTTTGATAAGTTATAATTTATTGTTTTTATTGGGAGGAGTGTAAATAGATTAGGGAGAATTTTTTCAATTGGAAGATTCGATTTATTAATTTAATATTTCCAAAAGACTTTGCCAAGTCTCAGATTGAATAAAAAATTTAGCTGTCGGAATATTTTGTTGATACGAATCTTAATTAAAATTATATTGATTCCTTCAGAGACTCTGGGCAAAAAAAAATTGTAATCAGAATATTTTTTTTTTAATTTTCAAAAAATTTCTGGAAAACTTTTTAGAATTTTTTTTTTATGAAACAAAAAAAAATCAAAACAATTTTATTTTTGGGAAAGGTTTTGAAAAATTTATCAAAAATTTGAATAGGACAATTTTTTTTATAATTTCTATGGCGTATGTTTTGAGAATATTAAAAAATAAAAAAAGTAAGAAAACAGTATAATCAAAAAAAAGAATTATATTTGTAAAAATTTCTAGAAAATTATAAAAAAAAATTTCAAAACATTACCCAAAAATACAATTGTTTTGTTTCCCGATTTTTTTTGTTTCAAAAAAAAAATTCTTAAAAGTCTTCCGGAATTTTTTTAAAAATTTGGAAAAAATATTCCAATTACAATTTTTTTTACCCGGGACTCAACTTGAGACTTTTCCGTACCTCAGAATCAACTCGAATGATTTTTTCTCCGAGTATTAAATCGATAAGAGTCTTAATAAAAATTATATTAATTCCTTGAGAGACTCAACATGAAAAATCGTCGAGTTGAGAATTTTCCTCGTCTCAGAATCGTCTTTATTTGCTTTTCCGAGTATTTCGTTGACAAGAATCTTAATAGAAATCGCATTGATTCTCTCAAACTGTTGCGCAGATGTTTGGTCAGTGTCGAGTTGAGCGCATGACTCGTGGATATCATTTCATACACAACCCCCACCGGGGGTTGCGCTTTGTTGGGGTTGATTTATGTGTAATCTATATAAGGAGGATGTCTGGTACGAGTCAAGGTCCAACCGATCTCTAGACTCACGTCTAAAGGAGATTAATTCCCCCGGGGACTATAAATACGCGTCACAAATGTACGAGAGTTCATTTGAACTCTGACTTCCGATTAAAAAAAAGAACTCAGTACCAGACGGGCGCAAGTCCCATTAACTCCAAGAAAAAAAAATGAAAACGGAATTTTTTCTATTTTCATTATCTAATTGTTTAAATTTCAAATAGAGAATAATAAATAATTACAATTAATGAAGAGATGGGTGGTAAGGGAATTATTAATTATATGTTATATATTAAATATATATTAATTATATATTAATTATTGGAATTTAAATGAATGAGATTTTTGGAGGGGAAAGTGAATCGAAAAAAAAATAGAGTGAAGAATAATTTCTAGATTTAGTACGGGAGTCGATGTCGGGGGAATCATGTACCAGAATCGACTTAGGAAATCGTCAACTTGAGGATGATTTGTATTCTAGTGAGAAGGTTGGGACGCTCCTGCCACCAGGAACATTCCTCCGGATAATCGACATGGCTCAGTCAGTGCCAGCATTTCACCTCAGTCATGCATACGCAGTTACTCGCTACGGATTTCCAATACGATTGCTGTGAGATTCTCGCATTTCTGATATCCCGGTACGTCTTGATATACGATATACTACTCATTAACCTGAAACATTAAAAAAATAATATCATATTTTTTAAATTAATGGCACATGCCATTTTTCGCAGATTCTGAAAATTCGTCATTTTTACTGGAAAATCAGGTATTTTCGTCAGGTATTCAGGTACGCCTTAATATGTTTACTCATTATACTGAAATATCGGGAAATTAATATCGGAATTTTTTGATGGGTTAATGCAATTTTTAACGAATTCTGGGAATTTATAATTTTCACTGAAAAATCAGGTCGTTTCATCGAATATTCAGGTACACCTTGACGTATTTACTACGATTAATATCAGAATTTTTTATAAACTGAAAAGTGCAATTTGTAATGATTTACGAGGATGGACATTTTTTGCTGAAAAATCAGGTATTTTCGTCGGGTATTCAGGCACGCCTTGATATATTCACTCATTACACTGAAATATCCGGAAATTAATATCGGAATTTTTTGATGAGTTAATCATGCAATTTTTAACGAATTCTGGGAATTTATCATTTTCACTGAAAATCAGGTTGTTTCACTGAATATTCAGGTACACCTTGACGTATCTACTCATTAACCTGAAATGATTAAAAATTAATATCAGAATTTGTTAATAATTAAAAACTGCCATTTGTAACGAATTATGAAAATTGATATTTTTCGCTGAAAAATCAGGCACCCCTTGCCCCCTCTATTAACCAACCCGAAATTCAAACGAATTATTCTGTAAAAAAAATTACCAATTTTCACCAACTAAATTTTTATCAAATTCACCACCCTTTTTAAATTTACAAATAATAAATAATAAAAAATATCAGATTTAAAAATATTCAGGCACTCCTAATATATCAAATATACCCAAGAAAATATTTTTCAAATCATGACCATAAATAACCACATAAAAATTGTATTGTATAATAATTTAAAACAAAAATTTATTCCACCAATATAAATACATTATTATACACTAAAAATAATCCCAATATATCGAATTGTTTTATATCTGATATATTTTTAATATATTTTCCGGTGGGAGTTGCACTGTCTCGTTTTTTTGTCATCTTTAAAAGAATTGGTTAAAGCTGGAGTAAAATAACTCATAAATATTCTAATCAGGCGTATTAATCAATAAATACGTTCAAGTGTTAACAACGGGAGAGCGGTAGCTCGTAAACGCTGTCTGGGAACGCAGACGCGTCTCTCTCATGTTGGAATATATTTTCCCGGATTACCCTCCCAAACTCAGCCCAACCTGTCGCCCCAAGATAACATAAAATTGGATGAAATTATAATTTTTAATTAAACATACACTCCAGTCCCGACTTAATTCCCTAAAATTTCATTGTTTCACCCCCGCAATCTTCAGTCCTATTTCGAGTGATTGCTGGTATCAATCAGATCTAAAATCACAATTTTTAACCAGAATATTTTTATGGAACCATCTGCATGCCCCCCGGCATGATCATGAATCATAAAGTAAAACGATAACGCTTTGGAAAGTAATAAAAATCTGAACTAACCGGGCCACGGTAGATTGGAAAATCCATCATATTTAGAGGTGTGTGTTTTATCGAGCAGCTGAAAAATTTCAGATTGAGAGGATAAAGATGAAATATTTTAAGTGACAAAAATTTTTCACCCGAGATGAATTATATGACGTGTAATTCATTCTGTTTATCCAGTATTTCGTTTATAAATTATTTCAAAGGGTATCGTTATTTTTAATGCTATATTTTTATGAATATAAATTTTTATGAGAGACTCTTCAACAATTTTACTTCTTCTTCAATTTATCATCACTTGAAGATCGAACAAAGACTTTATATAGAATATATGAAGCATTCTGTGTCAAGTGGGTCATCTATTTTCTTCATGTCCGCAAATTTATTTGCGACAGTTCTCTTTTGGTTTCTACATTTTCCCGCGAATTTTCAAGATTTCCAAAAGTTTTGAATAATAAAAAGAGCCAGTGTAAACAATTAAAGATAAATTCCCGATTTTTTTATTTAATTCGCTCATAATTATTAGTAGGGAAAAACAATTTTTAATTTTATCTTATTAATTTTTAAAAAATAGATAAGATATATAATGTATTTTCCAACAAAGATAGGCCTGTCAGCACCTGTCAATTTGACCAAAGTCAAAACTAATTGTAATAGTTGAAAAGATTGGATGATGAAGTACAGAGGATTGGACGAGGGTTGAGTGACACCCGACGGGAGCAATGTTGTACCCCGATGAGTCGTGATGCTGGGGATTTATTGAGTGGCTCATACCCTCTCTCAAGCCAAAAGGTTGCCAAAGTTTTCTCACCGAAAGCCCCTGCCCCCGTGAGATACCGAGTTTGGTGGACCCCGTGTTCGATCAATACGCGAAACCGTTGCCGAGGACCCAGTGTGAGAAAGAGAAGTCCACGCTAGTTTTGGGGTTGTGCCTCTTGAAGCGAGAGAGAAAATGAGGACGGACTATTCCTCGAAAGTTGCTCCGAGGGTTGCCACGAGGGGAATATGTTTGGAGTATGAAAGGGAAAAGATGATGAGAGGGTGGCCGGGTCTCGGTCTAGGTGGGGTTGACAGAGTATCACGGGACTCCCCGAGAATTACCGACGAGCCACGAGTCCAGGAGTGTCGCTAGTCCTCCCATTCCCCCAACCCAAACACTCCTAAATGAAATATTGAAAATATACATATATCAGAAAATTATACATTTTTTTTATATTCACCAAAAATGTATAGAAGAGAAATTCAAATGGATTTACATCATTTTATATATTTTATATATTTTATATATTTTCGAAAATATAAATATTTCTGAATATATTATAATAATATCCCTATCAATAAAAATTTTAAAAATCTATAATATCAGGAGATTAAACATTTTTTAAAATGACGTATCTCGAAGAAAATCCATTTTTCCGGCTGATACGATTAATTATAATAAATAAATAAATAAATATTCAGTTCGATTATCGTCGATGAAATAATCAACGATAAAATTCAACCGATGAATCGAAATAGTTGTGGAATGATGAATGATGATTGATACGTTGCAGATAATTCGCGGTGGCGCGATAAGAAATATCGCGAGATATTTTCAGTGGTGGTGGACGCTCCTGTCGTTGGAATGGTGGTGCGACGTCGGAGGGTGCGCGCGGTCCAATCATCGGAGAATCCGGCTCTCAAACCCGGGCAGCCCCGACCAGGGAGACGCCCCGTACGACTGGCGTCGGGACGCCTTCTCTTTCACAATTCTGTGAAGAATAGTCGAGGTACCGCTCCGAAGGGGCGTTGGCCCGTGTCCTCGTGGCTCTGGGTGAATCCTTCAAGTATTCATTTTCACTTCACCGCAACTCAATATTTTCTTATAAAATGGCCGATTTCACAGTAATCACTCGTAAAATGGCTGTGTACACGCTTCAATGAAATTATTAATCACGAATATAACTAAATACAAATGCACGTGGAACCAACGAGTGATTCAGCGCATGAAATTTTCACCCCAAAAATTCTCTCAAGTGAAAGTGCGGGTTTTTTAAATTGTGCCGAGTGACGAGAAAATTTTAAATTTAATCCACTCAAAAATGTAAATATCGATATTCTGTTTTTATTGTGGAACATTTATTGGAAGAGATCAAAAAAAAATAATATGAAAAAATTTCCTGTATTTTTTTTAATTATAATTTTATATAAAGAAAGTATTCATCGAAAAATTATATAGATCATGTATTTTACGTTGAATATGATTTTTCTTTTGGTGTGGAGTTTTCTGGAGATGTTAAATGAAAAATAATGGCAGAGTGAACAATTCAAAGAGAAACTCTGAAGAATGCACTCGGAGTCCTAATTAACGGCTTTTACGGCCATTACATTATTTTGGATCGTAAAAGGGTTTACGCAGTATCCATTAAAACAGTGTAATGAATTCTCGAATTATCGGGTCTGGGTCCATTACCCAGTGCTTCTAAAACCCATTAATATGAATATTGTTATAGCTAACATGTTATCATGGCAGCAACAGCAGATAACCGTAACTTTTTGTTTTAGAGGACGTAGCATAATGGATACATCATTCACTTAATATCAAGTGCACCCCAGAGGTCTGTCCTGTTTTCGTCGATAAGAGGAAGAGGATAAACATTTAGTGGCCCTCTGGATTCCATTTCTCTGTTTATTTATCCCTTGTTATATTTTTTTGACCGACCGGAAGTTACGAAAATGGAATTGGCAGATCGGTAATTCGATAAATTGGAGTCTCGTCAGGTACGATATGTCAGGATTCGTGACTTCCTTGAATTTTATTGCAAATCCTTATGCTCGGTCACGTACCTGTCATCGATGAACATTTTGAGGACGTCACGTCTTCGCGTGCAACCGTAAAAGACCATCGGTGAATGGTTTATGGAATTGTGAATTGAGGGTTTTGCTGGGTGATTATTGCATATGATAGGCACATCCGTGATCTACCCTGTAGATCCGGGCTTTTGTAGAATTGTAGATATCAGAAGCTCGTCTCTACAGGTATCTTACGGATGATATGCCACGCAACTGTAGTTTGCAAATATTATATAGTTATAAATATTAATATATCAATATATCTGTAATAAGAGCTATCGCTAATATTTCTCCAACTTGAAATGTCTGCCAACTTTTTATATTTAAAAAAAAATGCAGGATATATATCAAAGATGGATTTTATATATATTGTTTAAATATATTTTGTCTACCTGAATAATTGCTCTTTATGTACAATAAATGTGAATAATTAACCGAAAGTAATTAATAAAATTATCATCAGATAAACATGCGAAATTTTTTTCCATTGTCATTCCTTTTTTCGTTGATAGATTTCCATGGGGATTTTTGAGAAAAAAAATATTGGGGATTTCCCAAAAAATTGAAAAGACATTGAAAGAAATATTTGGGAAGTTTTTTTTGAGTGGAAATAATTATTTCTGGTGTGATCTGCGCTGAATGAAGTGAAATTCATTTAGCAGATGAATTACCATCGGTCGGTAATACAAGTTTTGCAATTTCGAATTGTCAACGGATGATAGATCAAGATCGTCTCAGGGACTTGTCAACAGCTGATGACTTGCTGATTTGTAATTACCGACTGATGGTAAGTCTTATCGACTGATGGTAAGCCCTGATTTTTTAAAAATTACTCTACGGGGCGTCACTGTCGCTCTTTCAATTCCGAAATTCAGAATTTCCCTGATCGAGCCATCAAGGATGAACTCCGCGTAATTATCAGAACCTTCAGGAAGAAGAAAATTATAAAGAACTCCGATTACACCTCCGTAATTAAAAATGCGATGAATAATTCTTTCGCTCTCATTATTTCAATCATTCCCGTTCATCAATATGAAAATCTAAAAAGAAAACGCTGAGCCCAGAACTCCGCAATTATCATATAATTGTTATATTTATTCCAATGTAATTAAGACGTGGTACTAAACTAAAATATCAACATGACTTCAAATTACGGTCTGATGATTACAGTAATTTGTTCTTTCACAGATTATCATCTCGCGATACTAATCTACAATGGAAATGTTTTCTCTCGAATTCCGAGGATTTTAATCTGTGAATTTGGAATAATATAGACTATTCTCCCAGATTTTAATATATAATTTAGAATAAAATGTCTATATATAGTACCTATAATAGTTGATGAAGAAATTATTTCAGAAAAGTCAAGAGCATGAATGGACTGATAAAATTAATTGACGCTATGAATTAATAGACAATAATCCTCTCTCAGTGTTAACATGATCTACAGGGAAGTGGGAAGGGATCAGGACAATCCTGGAGCTAACCAAGGGTTCCTGGATGGCAGGATATTACATTTGGGGTCGACCGGATGATGTCGGAATATCGCTGATGCCCTGTTATGAGAGCTCTCGAGATCCTGAAGAGACCTCTGCCACTTCACCATGCGATAGTTCATGCCTCGGCCCTCTGCCCCATATCGCAAAATTAATTGCGGCCGGAGAAAAGTATAATCTAGGTCAATTACACTTTTGCAACAAAAAATATTCCCTTTACCATTTCTAATATTTTTTTTTTCATATTCTCGCGATAAAAAAAAATTCTTTCCTCAATTCTCCATTCCATTTTGCATTCCCGTTTGATTCTCCAATAATTCCCAAAATTTGAATTTATTTTTTTTTAATGCATGTGCTCTGATTGCTAATTGTAACAATTATAATTCCGTAACTTTCCCCTCACAATTTCCGTCATAATTCCTCCTTGTGCTGTAATTACCGGTTAGTAAACCTCATAATTCATTTCAGTGAACATTTCCCTCGGTGCACCTGGACTGGAATTACCTGGAGATGATCACGCTGGAGAAGTGCCTGCCAAAAAGATATTCCGTCAATCCCCAGGTGAAATGGGTATTTTTTTTTTTCTCGGTGGACGATAATCGACTTGTCCGAGGGTCGTCGGATGAATATATATTCGCCGATATTTATATACTTACATGGCGCATTGCCTCCATCTGCAGCAAATGGTATATACCGGGAGCGCATCCTCTACCCAGGGTGCGACCAAGTTGAGTCTCTCGTACACCACCGTATACACATCGGTAAGGTATACCCTGCCAGCACCGCTAGCCATGACACCAACGTGATTAATGATCCTAAACCTATAGCCCCATGCAACATACACTATTCACCCTCTTCCTCCTTCCCGCCATTCCCGTCCGCCTGTTTCTCATCTCCTCTTCATTTCTCCACGTCTCTCACTCTCTCCATCACCGCAAACCAACCCTGTACAGCCCATGGCTTTTCCATTTTTTTTTCCTCCGATGCAACTAGAAACAAAAAAAATACTTGAAAAATTACGACACCAATCACGTAATCATAGGGGAGATTACTGTTTCGGGAATTATGTAATGATATTCATTGAAAAAAAAATTATAGAATATATTAATATTAATATAGAATAATATTTTATAATAAATCATTCGTTAATTCCAATTTTTTCATAAAAAAATGGAAAATTTAAAATTCCGGGAAAAGGTGCATACAATTTCAAAATTATCATATAAATATATTGAATATATAAATATATTCAATATATTTCAAAATTATTGTTAATCAAAAAAAAAATTATCAAATAATTATTAAAATTAATAAAATTATATATTATTATAAATTATCATAATATATTTCGTACGCACCTTTTCCCGGAATATAAATATATCTTATAAATATACTGAATATATTTATGAGATAATTTTGAAATTGTACGCACTTTTTCCCGGATTTCCAAATTTTACATTTTTTTTATGAAAAAATTGGAATTAACTGATGATTTATGTCATCGAATGATTTATATTTAATTATTCAATCATGTGGGGGAAAGATATCTTTATTTATGTCAAGTAATGATTTTTTCTGAAACTTGTGATATGGAGTCTAGGGAAAATGTGAAATTTTTCCCAAATTTTTCCCAAATTTTTCCCAGTGTGAGACCACATCACAACAGAAGACTCGATATATTGTTCAACTCTTTACCTGAGGAACCCTCGCTGTCGTAAATATGTCACCCCCTGGCGTATGGATTCCAACAGTGCAATTCAAATATTCCGGACGTTTTGCATGCACTCCAGGTAATGCCCCCATTACTGCAACTTTCGAAAAAGGGTTGTCCAACATTTTATTCTCCCCCAGAGGTACCCCACGATTTCCACATCCCCAAAATTCCTTATGCATTATTTTCCTCGTCACACCCCCCGCAATTTTTCCTCCACCAAAAAAAAAAAAAAATCGGTTTCATTCCGAAAATAATTTAAATTATTAATAATATGTTTTAATTAAAAATTGTCCTTTTGCGGCGGCTCGGGAATTGTTCAATCTGGAGAAAATAAAATCTGGAGAAAATATTTTTTTTGAGGTGGGATAAATGAAAAGGGCGGAGTAAAATTGGAATGCATCATAAAAGGGAGAAGGAGAGAGAACATGAGTTTTGTGCGTGATTCCGAGGTAAATCCTAATTACCTGGAGATAAATATCACTCTCGGGGATGACGTGCTCCTGCAGTGAAGTCTGGAGAGGTCGTCAGTCAAAGCCGTCAGCCAAACTCGATGTTATCACCCTGTTTTATAACACGAGACTTCTTTAACCTTCAAAGACCGCATCGATTTACATCAAATATAAAATTAATTAGTCTCCAATAAATTATTTATTCACTTGACACCCAAGAATTAATGCAACTCCAATAAATATCCAGTGATGATCAAAACACTGTCACCAGTTACTGCAGCTTTAATATTTGCAATAATTCGTGGATTAAAGTCTCGAGTTCGTTGCAGGGACTACAATTCTCGTAGAAGACACAGTCCTGTTGACAATTGAGTAAACTTGCCACTGGAAATTTAAGCGAAATGAAAAGCGGAATGAATGAGACAATCACCTTGATAAACGGAATAGTGAAAATCAGTGTCGAGTGACTTGCCTTTTCTTCCACACGGCGCCCAGTGACTAAGTGTGAATTCAATTAAGGGCTTTAAACATCTATCACAGCTCGTTTGTAGCTCATTCATTATTTGGATAACAAGATGAATAATGTTAATTCGGTGTCGATAGCAGGTACACGAGGTACAGCGGGCAATTGTCCTCCATTAATCATCAGAAATGATCT